CTACTTTATGATGAGTCAAAAACCCCTTGCTGATAACTATTGCCCTAACATGAATTTCAAGTATCGAAAAATCACATCGGAATGGTATCAAAGATTCTCGTGGTGATCCGAACTATCGTCAGTCCTTCTGTCAGTGTCATTTCACTTTCATTGGAGTTTCACCCTAGTGATATGAAAAATACTAGTGAAAAACACTTTTCACGACTACTGCATATCGCCGCGAAAATCGAGTTTTCCATCGAGTTTTACGCCACTTCACGTAAAACGGGTGAGACTCCATTGATATCTTCAGCTGAAATATAACCAACAAACTGCGCTAGTCGTCATTGTGATGAGAAGTTCTATAAGATTGAATTCTACTTACAATTTAGTTCATCAACAATCATGTACTTTTTCCACCAATGCGATGTAGCGATGACCTCAGTTGCACCAAATACGTCCCCTTATGTCAACGGAATGCCTACCTTAGCAGCTGTCCATCTAACTACAGTAACCGGGTCTTCCAAAGAAGGCAAAAGTATATCGCCAATGACGTCCTCAACCTACGAGGAAATCAAGAAGCAACAAAACCCCAACAAAATCTCACCAGGCTTTGAACCGACTCTCGCATGCTGAAATCACCAACTGTCATCTCTCCCATCTTTTTCCCTTCAGATGGAGCCGCAGAGAGAAATTTACAGCTCAAACGCCTACCACCCGCTTGATGATATCTGAGGAAACACCAGAATCATTAAAGTCTGTGCCTGTCGTCTCTAAACTAACTAAAAAACGGTACTAATTATTAATATTAATCTTGTATTCAATTTTCATCCTGACACACTAGTAGTAGTGAGTCTAGTATAAACAAAACACTCTGCGGTAATGGACATGCTCGTACAGCAGTTTCAGAATCGTTGCGGGCTGTATGCGCAGGCCCGTCTGAGCCCCACCACACCAGAGAAATAAAAGTCAGTTAGTCCGTTGCTACATCAAGAAGACTGGTACCAAGTTGGTACTACCAACATCTCTTCCAGTGTGATGGCTAACCATGCTTCCCATTCTATTCTGCGCGCGTACATATAGTGAAACGGTGGCTCATTTCCACCGAAGCCGAAAGTGGGCACAGTCAGCCGTATCCAAGTTGATGGATCACGAGGATGACTGTGATTGAAACAACCAGGATGTGATCAAACCTGTCGTCCCCGGCGAATAGCATCACCACAATGCTTGACCAGAAATCCTTCATATTGTAAACCACGAGCAGCAATTCTTCTCGCTTTATCACCAGCCGAGATCCAGTCCATGTCTCTCTGAGCCACAAATCATGTCGGCGAAGTACATCCAGGCACCCGCGAGTAACCGCTCTCAGGGTGGCTGTTTGATGAAGAAGTTTTCGAGACCCTCGTCGACATCATTCCATCATCACGACCAACAAGGGGGATACTCTTCCAAAGCATCGATACAAATGCTAGCATCTTGGTCTCATCGCGAGACGAGTCCCACAAATCTCATCTTATTTGACGCTCTTACCATATCTCCCTCACTATATCCATCCCATAGTTCCAACCACAGGAATTCCAGGTTGGAAGTCGTGGGAATTTCCATTATTCCTTCCCATTCATAGCATTGAGGTGTACGAATAAAAATAATCTCGAGGTACTTCAGGACCATCGTTACCATACAGCCATCAAACAGGTCCAACCTCGGCCGGTGTATACACAGAAAGAGACAACCCTGCAGTTACCATCGCAGAGCCTTGACCGAGAGTCCCCCGACACAGCAACAACCGGAGAGTTCCTTCAACCAGCCATACATGCATATGACATTAGACATTCAAAAAATGTCAAGAAAATTGTGAGCTACACCGCGCCCGATTTCCCAAGACAAGAATTGAATTTAAATAGAGTGGGAGATACAATGGAGTTTCACCCGTTTTACGTGAAGTGGCGTGATAGTCATTGATAAACCCGCTATACGCGCTATGCAGTAGTCGTGAAATTTATTTTTCATTAGTGTTTTTCATATCACCAGGGTGAAACTCCAATGAATAACATCCTACCGAGAACAGTCACACATTGTGGCTCATAAATTTCACCGCCAAGTAAGCATCCGCATTTTCGTATAATTTTTTTCCATTCATAGGAAATTATAATAGTAAAATCATTTTACTCACCTCCACTGCTGCCTAGCTTGGCGAACTTCATCTGGGCATTCCCTTTCGACCAACTCAGTAGAGAGTCGCCCACACAGGGCAGCCATTATCTTTCTCGGTGAACCAGGTAGATCTGAATAAATCTCAAACGTACGCATACAGTGAAGAACTTTATTCACCCCAGGCGCTTATTGCGGCTTGGACGATAGCCGTCAGTTCATCATCAGGCATGTTGCGCAGCGTGGGAAGTTTACTGAGCTGATGCGCTACCAGAACGCACGACCATCGCGTGGCACTCGAGTCTTCCGATATCGAAAGTGCCTACAGAACTCCACACTCTACAGTCCACAATGGCTCTCAACATATCCTCCGCTATACAGCGTGTGCCAATTTGATATGCAAACGTGAACAATGTGCGTTTTCCAGTCCGAGATTAATGAAGTCGTTGCTAATACAGTCTCGAAAATAACCTTTATCACATCACATCTTTATAGAATTGCTTACATCGCTTATGCGACATATCTAGTTTCACATCGAGTCATCAATCTCGGATAATACCGCACTTCCTCCACATTTGAATATCAAATTAGCACACACTGAAGAACTGCTCGGACCCTCCTACACTAAGCTGCGAGAAGAAATCTTTTTTCACGTGATTTTCCACGATATCTTCTCGAGCAATCAATCGTGCCAAACACAATGCAGCTGCCCGATGTAGCCGCTCACAGTGACCACGAAGTGCTGTATTACAACTGAAAAGGAAGCCTGCCATTACCATTGGTACAACTTTTAAATGGATACTTTCTTGTATGAGCTGGAGAGTATCATAAGAACGAATTTTTCATTGAGACGCTCTAAGCGGGACGACACATATCGTGCAAGACCGACCTCACATTCTCTCGATATACTCCTACTCACCACGCCGCGATCCTCTCTGGAACACTAGCTGTTGGCCATGATGAGAACGGGAAGGGTGCGAGCAATAACACAGATAGCCATACCAGCATTATGAACCTGAGTATTAGTTGGAGTGTTAAAACACATCTTTGCTTTCCTCAGCTAAGCTCATTGAATTGATCTAATCATATGAGGAATAACAATACTAATAATAACATATTATGATATGTTAAAATAATAGTAAACCGACGTTCACACACGACTCAGGTTGAAAATTCACATAAATTTCTCAGAATTTTCCTACCACCATGCGTGGTTGACCATGTACATATTTTCCCGAACTCTCCCAAACCCACTTCGATTCCCATCCCTCCTCAGTCTCAGCACGAGCCGTCGAGAAGATCTCCTCCGCCTGCTTCAACACTGGTTCCATGAGCGCGATGTCGTGAGGAAAGCAGCCGGAAGAAGCACTATTGAGGCCTCTAATCTACAAACACATATCGCTGACACATATCCGAAATTCAGGACTTCACGTAGAACGGATGAAATTCCAATGCAAGTCCTCCAAAAACATACCATAACTCGATGAACATCATTCCCTTTATATATGATAGCACTATATAAAACTGCTCTACTTAGTCCAACTGATCGAGTTGAGCATGCTCATAATAAGCTCACCTTGAAAATTAAATACAACGTAGAGCATATAAGATGACAACTGCCAGGCCATGCCTTCTCAGTCGAGACTTCCTCCGTGATGAACGCGATAAGAGGAGTAGTCAGGTCCACCATATGGGCATCCAAAAGGACTCCTCTTTCCTGATACCTGCATATGATGAGTTCCGGTAATTACGTAATATTTGGAATGGCGTAGAATTTGAACTCCACTTCACAGCGTTTTTCACAAAACCCGGTAAAAAACGCGATATTCATGGTATGCAGTAGTCGTGAAAAAATATGTAATTCACTAGTGTTTTCATATCACGGGTAAAACTCCATTAATACTGGCATTGCTTGGAGTCTATCCCAATTTTACACAAGATGAGCGCAAAAACCAGACTATCTCACTAGTCACGGACGATTCCCTTGTCGAGAATTTTTGATACAGCATCGCAGAGCTTACAATTTTCCCAATTTCAACATCCCATAAATTGTTCCCATCAGCCCTTGTCTAAAATGTACATTCCCAAACAATGCTCCACAAACAATCACATATTCATCCCCAACCCCTCACGGTTGCAGCAGATCCTTCAGCTCATAGCAAATCTTCTGACATTCGCTCAGCACAGTGTCAGCTTCCTCACCAGCACGTTCAAGACGCCTTTGTTTGTCGGCAAGTTCCATGATCTTATCAATCAACATTAGCGATCTCCCTTTCTCCCTACAAATGAAGACTACCATCATCACTAAACCGTGTGGGAAACCACATATGTTGGTGATGAAAATATTAAAATTCTGATAAAATTTTGGGAATTTTCTCTACATTTCTGCATGTTTCTACGATGATAAACTCTCATCGTTAGTGAGGAAATTTCTGAGCTCAGCCGAGGAAAGCAAACAACACCGCGATAACCTCACTTGAAAAATTCCACTTCGTCTACTTCCACAGCGCGATTCTCTCCACAAACTTCACTCTTTCCCCAACACTCAGTAGCATCATAATCATACTCCACCACGCCCGTACACGCTGAAGATTCCTCATTGCTCACAATAGTATCCATTTGAGGTCCAACTCCAAGAAAGATACAAAATACAGTGCGTGTCAATTTTATATTCAAATGTGAATTATTTTTCCGAGATTAACGAGAATTCTTCTGAAACTATATCGCACATACAATGGAGTTTCACCCGTTTTACATCAAGTGGTACGCGATATTCGCGGTGATATGCAGTGGTCGTGAAATATATTTTTCACTAGTGTTTTCTCATACCACTAGGGTGGTGAAACTCCAATGTAACAATGACTATGTGTTGTGATGAAAGTACCCGTTCGGGACTGTGATGATAGCGACAACTTGTTCACTATAACATATCCAACAAAAAACACATTTGCATATCAAATTGACACGTACTGTACGTCCACTCAACAACTCAACCACCAAGATCGTCATAAAACTTTTTTGTTGCGAAATCTCATCTAACATGAACAGATTCCCCAACAGCTCTTACAGGGTCGTCCTCGACGCCCAGCACCGCTGAAGTGATCGCAAATATTAAAAATAAGATTCCACCAGCAAGAGAAATATGTCTTTCAGAAATTTGCCTCGCTAGCAGCTTCCCACCAATCACCGCGATTCCCGTACCTGCTATAGTACAGTGCGTGTCAATTCGAAAAGAGAAAAAATGTAAAAAATGTGCGTTATTTTCCGAGATTAGTGAAAAA